AGTCGCCGGTTTGCTTCTGCATATGCACTGCAGTCAGTTCAGCCAACAACATCTTGATTTCGTCGCGCAGTTTACAGCCGAGCATCTGTGCCGCTTCCAGCAGGTACTCACAGATCTTTCTTCGGGTGGTCGTTCCGAAACAACGGACCAATCTGATGAAAATCGAACGACCGTCGTCGTAGCCCTCATCGCCGCAAAGGCAGTTCGTAATCACCTAAAAATGATGTCTAAATGCCAATACTGAAGATTCATGGCTAAACAATGATTCCAGATGCCGGAGTGTCAAAATCTTTTAGTTGTGCATGAGCGACAAGTGTTACAACCCGTTCTCCATATCGTACGGGTTCAGTTATTAGGACTTTACTCATAAAGGTAACACAGTAGCTATGACAAGCAGTACATGAGCACAGCTGCAGTGATATTTATTTATTCTCTTATGATACACAAAAGATACGTGACTTTTGCTCTAGGTCAAAATTTGAACATAATCTTTTGGCAGTCAGTTTAATACTGTTTCATCGGAACTATTCCAAGACACAAATTACTGGCACATTCAAAAGAGCACCTGGGTCGAGTGCTAACTGGACTAAGGATGAAAACATAATCAGTTAAAACCTTTTCTGATTTTTTATTCCAGTTATGTCGAAGACATAAGTACCTAAAAGGGAACAGAACGTCAAATACGTGATGCTGTCATTTAAGATAATTAAAAGTTGAGAGTTGCATGCTGCTTCAAACCTTGTTCCAAATCTGTTAAGAGAAAAGTCCTAGTATTGCCCAACAACACTCGTTTGACACAGGCAATTTACAGGAAGATTTTTTGAAAAGGTCTGGTAATAACAAACAAATTATACGCAGAAAATATTCATTGTATGACCATATACCGTTACTAGCAGTTTCAGGTGCTGCTCCAAATAGACAACCTCATCGGTCGTCGTGCAAGACACGTCTTGTCTAGCCAGCTTGTCGGCAGCGTTCAGCGGGATAGCATTGGCGGTCAGAGCAATTAGGCGCAATGTCTTATCGATCAACGTTGGGCTCTTTTTGATGAACGGGTGCTCCAACAACAGCATCAGGTGACCAAAAGGTGACTCTTCAATCGTCACGTAGTGCATCGCTTCGAGATGAGACGCAAAGTGTTGCTTGGTGGCTGACTTGGAGCGCTTGGCTGTAGCAACCGCTGACACCGAATCCAAACGTAGCAGAATGTCCCAAAAATCAGTTCTAGAAAAATATGACAATAAAATGCGACGGCACACACTAACCACAAAGAGTTTACCTCAGCCTCTTGTGCCAGTCGCTCGTGCGATTTTCGCTTTCGCTGGTCGTCGGCGTTTTCGAAGACGCAGGCGTCGACTGTGGCTGCTGTCCGTTTTTCGGTGACGGAGAAACCACCGTCAACGTCGTCGAACTCGTAGCTAGTGATGTGTCGTTGTCGGTCACCGTAGAAGCACCGACCTCCTGATCGCTTTTTCGCAGACAATCGGGTAAAAAGTAGGTCGGAAATGTTTTGGCTAACGAAATGAGCGAATCCAGAACATTGCGGCAAACGGCGTCCACCGCCAAAGGATTAATGCTGAGGTTCGATGCATGGGGAACCACGATCCTCTTACCGGATACCATGTGGCGCTGGATCTGAAAGACGTCTACAGGGGCACCCAGTGCTCCACTGATCGTTATGCTCAGCCAATTCTGAGGACGAGGTCGTAATGTGCAGACGATATCTGGTTTTCCTTTGATGCTAACTACTTTTTCTTTCCTCGCAGATTCGCACCCCGACTCTGTTGCGGTTAACATCTGCGTTGGTCCGGGCCCAGAATCAGCCGTCTTCTCCATTATAGAAATCATCGCTCGCATCAACCAGTCGCGAGTCGTCGCGTGATAACACAGACATTTCATCAAGCGATGCAGTCTCGCTATGTTCAACTGCTGGTCGTCCATAAAAAACATTACCAATAAACAAGACAGGGCCTCTTTGTCTAATAAGGGAAGACCGTGGTAGTTATGCGTCATCTGCTGACAAGACGGTAGGGCCAAACGCCGCAGCGTTGGCCGATCAAACGCATTTTGTCGAGGCGGCGCCCGAAGAGAATATCGACCTAAAATATTTTAAAATTAGTAAAGTGCTTAGGCGCAAAAACATTATCAACTAAAAATAATATTAACTACGAAGTTGACGTATTCAGCTAGCAAAGTTCAGCAGTGCTGAGCAAATATCAACAGATATACATACATTAAATTGTAAGTCATGAATGCATCAATACTATTTAACAATCAGTAAACGAGTAAATTCCTTCGACGAATTTTCGTGCATTCACGTTCAATC